TGTAAGATGACAAAACCATGTTTACATTGCAGGCCACTCAAAGAGGGCAGCGGGGCCAGCACTGCAGCAGAAGCTAAACTTAAACCTTTTCCCAGCCTATATAACACCGTAGCTCATTTCTCTCCTAAATAAAAGAGTAAAAGTTAATAAACAGGCCATCCTCTAAAAATCAGATGGCATTAGACATTTTAATACCATAAAGAGATACTTATATATATGACATAAATAACATGTCAGTTCCTAAAGTTCTCTGGACCTTGTCCTCCTTATGGGAAGTCATTACTAAAGTTATAAATACTCTGTTGGCTCCTGCATACTTAATTCTACAGATACATTCTACTGTAGTCCAAATCCTAAACAAATAGGCAAAACTTGACCTTCAAACCTTATAGAGATCTTAATATGATTTTTCATGTTTTCAACAACAGAGATAACAGTGACACTTGGAGTTCTGAGGTAGGGAAACCGACACAAGGTGGAGCTGCCTGGGCCCCCCTCCCATTGACCATGCTCAAATGCAGCAGAAGACATTGGGCAAGAGAGCGCCCCGTCCTGGCATTCTTTTTTTTTTTTTTTTTTGGTATTTTTCCTTTTTATTGGTACTGGGGATCAAACTCACGACTGCCTGCTTGCAAGGCAGGTGTTTATGCTGCTGAGCTAAATCACCAGCCCCTATCCTGGCGTTCTTTGAGACCTTACCCCAGGGCTACTGGACTGTCCTAGCCAACAGCGAGTGGGTAAGCCATCCTAACTTCTAGCCCTCACAGGAAATGCCAGCACTTCCAGATTCATCACTGAAACTTGCTGCCGAAGACTGATGGGGCTCAGGGCCAACAGCCCCTTTTATGGGTGTGTATCTCAGAGTCCAAGTCGCACTAAAACTCTCAGGTAAGACATTCTCTATATCTGTGGACATAGAGGCCATATATACAGGGTTCTTCCTGAGTTTTCAGGCTGCTATACTAAGTCCTCAATCTCTGTGATGGGGTATTGGTGGTCAACCTATGCCATTTACAAACAGGGCCTATTTCATGCAGGTCCCAGTCCTAAATCATAAAATGCCTTTTATTCCCTTGTGTTTATAGAGGCTGACTTAGACACACTGAGGCCTCAACAGCTTATACCTGTTATTGCTAGTAAACCTCTCCTCAGTGATATAAGACCACCCCCTTCCTTTCTTATTCACCAATTTCTCAGGCAACCCTGATCAAGACTGGCAGATAAATTTTGTCTTCTCACTTTATTTATACTTTTTCAGGATACATAAAAGCCTTTCCCACAACCAGGGAAACTGATGATATACTTGCTAAAGTTCTGTTATAGCAAATCATTCCAAGGACAACAACCAGGTTACAGTGACCCATACCAGCTTGATATTCTTGGCAACCTCAACAGTGATCAAAGTTGCTAGACTGCCATCCTGGTTTCGAATCACTCAGGCCCTAGATCTAACCATCCTTTTCCTACTCATCTCTGCCTTACCAAGGCCTCACGGCCACGACTCTCAGGCTGTCATGTTTTGTTATTCAGTTTAGTTTCTAATTTCTTATTCTTTTACAGCAGGACTCTTAACAGTATTTCCTAAAGACTCCAACGTCATGCATACCAGAGACAAGCCTTACCTACCTACCCTTTTAACTTTTACCCTTTCAGATGGGGGACTAAACACTTCTCATAACTTCACTCCTCCTAACCCCATGTTTAATTTTCAGAATTCTGCCTTACCGTGGAAATGTTTCTACCTCAACATGGTCCTGATATAATGGCATGTCTAAATTGAAGGCACTTCCCTTTTACCTCACCTGGGTCCTTAAATGTGACAGTGCCATGTCTCCTCATAACATCTTGTCTCTTTGTTTTTCCAGTCTAACATACATGCATTCACCAGTGAAGTTGTCCTGGCTAAAACACCTGGCACCAGCTTCTACATGGGCGTTAACCATCATCCTATTGACTCCCCTAGACCCCAGTACAGCACCCTCTGCCAGCAGGAAGTAGTTAAAGAGAGAAATCTTCACCCCTTTTCATAATAATAATCATAAAATGGGATATGAAAGAGTTTTGGCCCAGACAGGACACTGTAGCCGGTAAAGCCAAGGAGCTCCTATCTCCCCTCCCCTAGGAATTTACCTATGGTGCCAAACAAAGACCAATGGGCTATCTGTGCATCCCTAATGCCCCCTTAGGTTCCACCGCAAACCAGGCTACTTATGTGCCTCACTCCACGTGTTCCATGGAGAGATCGCCGACCCCGGGGTGGAGATGCCATGCCCCAGGGGGTAGGGAGTGTCTCTCCCCACATTCTCAAAACAAAGGTCATTTATATTTCATACTTCTTATCTTTTCAGCTGCCACCGGTCCCCCACAGTTCTATCAGCCATGATGCCTCAACATCTCAATGCCTTGCTTCTCCTTCACGTCTCTGTTTATGCTGGCACCTTCCTTCAGGTGGAGCATCTGTGCTCAGCACCATGCTGATTTAATTCCACTGGCATTTAAATTGACCACCAGTTTTTAATCTGTAACAGTGCTTTTCTTCTGTGCTGTACTTCCCTGCCCCCCGCGAAGCAAGCAGCTTCCCTTGTCCTGCCATGATGGGTGTTCTTGCCTGGGGGCCAGCCGATGCTGGACTGAAGCCTCTGAAATCACGAGCAAAAATAAGCCTTTTACTTGTGTATGTAGGATATTTAGTCCCAGCAATGAAAAAGTGGCCAATACATCATAAGGCAATATTATTCAGTCATGCAGAACAAAATCATGTCATTTGCACCAAAATGGATGTCTTTCAGGTTAAGTAAAATAAATCAGACTCAGAAAATCAAATATCACATTTTTTCTCATATGAGGAAACTAGAGGGGGAGAGAGATGACACAGGAAAGAGGAAGGAAGACTGTTAGGGAGGAGGAAGAGGATCAGAGGGAGCAGGAGGAAAAGGGAGGTCAGTGGTAGGCTGACGGAAGCGTGCATGTATGAATACAGCAAAATGAAACTCACTAATCTGTGTAACTAATATGCAGTATAAATGATAAATAATAAAATGTACCACTCAGTGCTTTTATATGACATAAAATTTGCCATTTTAGCCACTTTTTCTCGTGCAGTTCATAGCCGGTAAAGCCGGCCCATTTCTTGTGGCCATAATTATATTCCAAATGTGCAACCATCAACACTATTTCCAAAATCTTTTTATCATCCCCAAAGAAAATCAATTTTCTTTTTTTTTTCTTTCTTTCTTTCTTTTTTTTTTTTTTTGAGACAAGGTCTTGCTTTGTAGTTCAGGCTACTCTCAAATTCACTTTTGTGGATTATAGGCGTGTGCCACCACACTCAGTATGAAAAATCAGTGGGGCTTTTTGGTCTTTTTTTGAAGCAGGGTTTCACCATATGGTTCAGGCTGGTCTTGAACTCACTTTGGAGCCCAGGCTGGCCTCAAACTTGCAAGCCTCCTGCCTCAGCCTCCTGAGTGCTGGCATTACAGGCATATACCAGAATGCCTGGTTTTGAAAAATCAGTATTTATTAAGCAATAACTCTCCATTCCATCCCCTCCAGCTTTTTTGTATATAGGCCCCACTCTACATTTTTCTCCATGAATTTACCTAGTCTAAGTGTCTCATATAGGTGAACTCATACACTATGTGTGCTTTTGTGTGTGGTTTATTTCTCATAGCATAATGTCTTCAAGGTTCTTTCTTGTTCTTTTGCTGAATAATCTTTCACATTCAGCTTTTCCACTTACTCACTGATGGGCATCTGGGTTGATTCCATCTTTGGGCTACTGGAAATAATGCTGCAATAAATGTCAGTGTACTCATATCTGTTTGAGTTCCTGCTTTTGATTTTTGGGTAGTGAGTATAAACTCCCTGGGCCCACTTTTGATGTCATCAGTACTCCACACCCTCAGTAATCCTCCCCTCCTCTTCGTCTCCTCCTTCTCCATTCTCTCTCTGTGTGTATGTGTGTCTTTCTCTCTCTCTGCTGGCCATCAAACCCCGGGCTTTGACCATTTGCTAGACAAATTCTTTTCCCAGTCACATCACTCCTCTGCTTGCACTTTGACAATGTCGGATAAAATTACCCACTAAGTGAGAATTCTGGATAAAGATGGAAGTGTCTCACGAGGCCACCAGTTTCCTGAGCTCTGACCTGCTGAACTGTCCAAGTCACTTTGCCCTGCCCTTTCCTCTGGCCCAGCCACCCCAGACTTCTCTCGGTCCTTCTTCAGAACCATGTTCCTTTTACATTCAACATGCTGGCCCCTTAGGCTAAAACGTGCATCTTCCCCAAACACCCAGCTTTTGATATTCTTAGGAAGCTCTTCCCGTCTTTCTCACCCCTCTTGCTGTATGTTTCCTCCCTGTTACTGTTACCTTTGGCCCCCTGTCTTTCCTGACTCTGTTCACTTGGCATTAAGTGTTCAATGTCTGTTTTCCCTCCTCTAACATGACTAAATTGGTGGAACGTTTGCTACATTTCAGGCCATTTTGTGCACATCATGGGGTCAACTTATTAACTCCTTGCAGAAGGTCTGCGGTCTTCGCAGGTGAAGAGATGCCCAGGATGCAATCGCTTTCACAGTGAGTACGCTGGCAACCGGAAGGCCCTGCAGACCCACAGACCAAGGCTGCTGGTCCCTTGTTCCCTCCCTGGGCGTCATCTCCAGGCCCTAGCACAGATCCTGGCTTACAGTGATCTCCGATTGGATTCCTAGCTAACCTGGGTGAGTGATGAGTGGACAGAACAGAAAGCCCAAGATGGATCTGAGTTCTGAACAAACTTTCCTTCCGCGTGGCTCCTGTGTGTTAAGCGTCCTAACCCCTAGGCTCAGTTTCTCCAGCCTAAAAAGTGCATATTAATATCTGCCCCAGGGTTTTATTTTAATGTGAATTTTAGAAATCATTGATCCTGGAAGACCGGGTCTAACTGGACTGACTTAGCATTCGCCACCCGGTCCTCAGACAGGGAAGGGGCTGAGAAGCCCAAGGAGGGAAACCCAGCTCCTGGGGGAGTCCTGCACGGAACCCAAGGTCGTCCGCCCCTCCCGGGCCTTTGTGGCCACCTCCGAGGGCAGCCTCAGGGCCAGGCAGTGGTGTCTGCTCAGTCTCCCTGCCTCCCTGCCCCCTCTGGGGCATCCACAGCTCCGGAGCTCTCCGGGGCCCGACGCCTGGCTCCGCCCTTGGGCCTCATTATCTACGTTTCCGCGACTGGCGCTGCGTGAACTTGGCAGGCCCTCCCGGCGGTGATCGGGAACACTTTGTGCCTCCCCGTCGCCGGCACCGCCCTGCCGGGACCGGCCCGCGCAGTCCACAGGGCCCGGGTCGCTGTGCGCTAAGGTACGCGCGCCCTTTGCCCCGCCACAGGGCTCCCACGCACTTGTCCTCGGTTCCCCGAACTCTTCGCCTTCGGGCCAGGCGCCCCAACGTGGGTTGCCCCGCGCATAATTAAGAGGTTCCTAAAGATGCTGTGGCCCATTTAAAAACAAAGCCCAATTATTAGCACTCAGCGGCTGTTTCTGCCGGCTCAGCGTCAGGTCCCCCAGCGCTGATGACAAGCAGCGCTTGGAAGGAGGGTCCGGGGGACCTGATCCGAGCCATCAGAACAGTTTGGAGACCACTTGGGCCCCGGTGCCCCAGCTCTTCTTTCCTTGGCTGCAGAGCTCAGGCAAATCCGTCACCTATCCGGTGAAATGGGGTCCGCTCCGGGCCTGGCGATCGCGCGCAGCGCAGGAGGTGACAGAGGCGGGGGTGGTGTTGTCTCTCCCAAGCCTCCTGAACGCCGCCTGCCCGCGGTGCCTGCTCGGCCCCAGCCTGAGCGTCCCGGCTGCACGAGCGGCGCTGGCTCTAAAGTGCGTCACGGGCACCGGCGCGCGGCTCCGCCGGGCAGGGTGAGGCTGGCACGGGGCCAGCGCAGGCCGGGCCACAGGAGTGCAGGGCCGTCTCCCAGACTGGGACCCGGGCGTGGAAGGCGCTCAAGTTGCGAAGACCCGGAGCGCTGCTGGGGGCGTCCTCTGGGACAGGCCACGCGCGGGCGACGACCCTTTGCAGCTTCCGCGAGCGCAAGGACTGCGCTTTCCTCTCACCGCCCCCCTCGCTTCTTCCAGCGCGGCGGCCGCGGAGATTTCCTGCCCGGGAAACGACGCGGATCCTTCCCGGGGCTCCTCGCCCCGCCCCAGGTCTCCGACCCCTCCCCTTTGCTGGGGATCCCGGGTTGGGCAGAGTCGGGGAGGAGGCTCCAGTAGCCTGGGCCAAGGAGCGGCGGGGGGCAGCAGAGCTGCTGGCCACGGACGATGCCCGCCATGTGACGCCGTCTTCCTCTCCGTGATCCCCCCACGCCTCCCGGGCCCGCGGCTCGCCGAGCCGAGCACCATGCTCCTACCGGGACACGCGCGCCCGCCGCCCGCGTCCCAGCCTGCGCAGCATCCCGGCCTTCGCAGGCAAGTAGAGCCGCCCGGACAACTCCTGCGCCTCTTCTACTGCACAGTGCTGGTCTGCTCCAAGGAGATTGCAGCCCTCACTGACTTCTCGGGTAAGAGCACCCGCCCTCGCCGTGCGCCCCTGGAGAGCTCGGGGGAGGAGGGCAGGCCCCGAGGGGCGCGGTGGGCTGGATTGAAGTTGAAGCTCCCCTTGTCGGAGGGGAGCCCTTGACATATAGATGGTTGCGTGCGGGTGGCTGCATGGAGTCCTCCTCAGGAGGAGGACTGATTGATGCACGCAGGTTCACTAGAGGTGCCCTAAAGCCAAGCTCCGTGCCGCGCCCAGCACTGGAAGATACACGTGTTGTGGCCCCGGGAGTTGAACTTAGTTTTTGCCACCCACGTTGAGAGGGTGCGACCCAGTCTCCCTCCTGGGCACTCCTGGAAGCAGCCTGGCCCAGGTCACATGGGAAGCTGGGAAGCCGGAGAAGGCAGACATGGAGGGGAGGGCTGTTGGAGATATGGAGAGGGATGGGCAGATGCTCACAGGACAAAGATACTCCAGGGCCTAACTGTACTGCCAGGATCCCTCCCTGTTTCTGATCCCGGATGCTTTACACACACACACACACACACACACACACACACACACACACACACACACACACATTTACAATCCAATCTCTCCCAAAAGATCTTTAATAGTCTTGAGGTGGCAGGTGTGGCCTGGCATAGTGAAAGAAGTTTCTGGTTGAGGATGGCTCTAGGAACATATGCTTAAGGTAGTAGCGCTTGAGTAAGGTGACAAATGTCCGTGCCACTGTGAGGACCCTTGGTCTCCATCAGGCAAAGCTAGAGCCCAGCTGAGGAAGACGCTGGCAGTCCTACACTCTGCAATCTCCAGGGATTTTCTGGCGAGTCCAGGCTTTGCACAGACCCTAGTGCGGGATCTGTTTCGCTAGAATCAAGGTAGAAACAGTCACTGCCCAATCCTATTTATGCAGTAGACTAGTACGTGGCCAATAACACTGGCAAAGCCCACACTGAGTTGGGTTTCTGATTTACTTACAGAGAATGTCATTGTTAGCTGAGAGCCCTTAGGTCAGAGGTTCTTTGCTTTGAATATTTTATATCAAGGCAGTGTTCCTGCCTGGCAAAAGGAGCCAAGATATGCCTATTTGGCAAGCGAACTGTGGCCCTTAAAATCAAACCCCAGAGGATCAAAATGTGGTGGTAAATGTGCTGGGGAAATGCATCGGATTTTTCAAGTGCTATTAACTTTTTCTCCTCCACCCCCACCCCTTTTCTCTCTTTCTGTAGTAGAACTTTCTTGGCTGCTAGAAAAGCTTGGTTTGTGCTGCTTTAAGCTATAGCTAACAGTCCTGAATCCTACCACTCACTGTCTCTTTCTGTATATTGTAAAGCAAGAATGAAAAGCTGACATCTGGTGACATCATTGTCACTGAACAAGTATAGCTTCAGGCAAATTTTGGTGTAACCATTAGATTGTTTTCACAGATTACAGACACTTAGAATTTGTTTCCTTAGGGAAACTGTTACAGTTCTTCTAACAGCAATAGGTTACCACCCACCCAAGTCTGGAATTGTCTGTCTATGTATGGCAACTATGTAACAGTGGATTGGAGCTATCAAACTTGGAGGAGATACCCTGAAAGAAGGCAGTGTTTTGACACAAGTTTTTCTAAATAGTAAAAAGGATGAAAGCCTTTTCCTTCTGCTTTCCCTGAGAACCCTGTTTCCAAGGTTTCAAACTCCAGGAGCCAGCAGCAGGGGGTGGTGTTGCCAGGTCTATCCACAGCCAGGCTCCATTTTCCTTCTGATCTGAGTAGCACTCTGGGGACCTGAGAAAGTTTCAGGGATCTTCCCTGGGGACATGAAAAGACACGAGGTCTTTCAAATTGTAGTCAAGCTCAAGTTCAAACTCAAATTCTGTATAATGTGGGGTTGGGAAGATATTAGAAATGCCTCCGGAAGACAGAAAGATGAAGTCCTCCAAGGTTGCCTAATTTGTCTTAAAACTTAAGAACCCTTTAAAGACCCCCAATCGTGGGATGAAAGTGCAGAGAGAAATTCCTAAACTCCAAAAATGTCTGTCTTAGCATCCATTTGGGAAATCCTGATCATGTAGTTCCCTGTGGCCTCAAAGTTTGCTGCCTGCTTTCCTGGGCACAGGCAGTCCTGTTTCTTTTTATGAACTTGGCAGAGTGTACAGAGATGGAACAGAGGCTTACCCTGAGACAGTGGACCCTCCCCGCGGAGCCTTATGACAATAGCTGGAGGCCAAGAGCAAGTCTGACAATGTGGACACTTGCTTGTTTTCTAAATAAGGGAAACATCAAAAGCCAGTAGAGGATGGAAGAAACTTGGGACCCATTTGCCTTGCAAAGGAGAAGGGAGGATGTTGTGTCCATGTAAAAGAAAATGTCAAAGTATCAGGGGCCTAGCCATAGTCTGTGCACGACAGGGCAGCTTGGGAGATCAGCTAAGCACTTTGGGAAAGTCGATTCCTGCTCACGCGCTCTCTCTCTCTCTCTCACTGATTTTTTTTTTTTTTTTTTTTTTTTTTTTTTGCCCTGGGGATTCCAGCATCACATCTCTTAACCCAGAGGTTGCATCTCAGCCCTCCTCCCCCTCCACGCTCATGACTTGTGCTAATCACCTTTCCAAGCCTCCTGGAACACAGCCTTCCCCAACACCCCCTTCTCTCTCCTCCCTGAAGATTTTGAGATGTTGCTAGTGGCCCCTGGAAGGCTATCATCACTGCATTAAAAACGGATCCCAGAGAAGGCAAGAGGGCTGCATGCAAAATTAGCACCTCTGATCCTTAAGCCCATCTTCAGATGTGCTTGGCTTCTATCCACCTTCCTCTTTGAGAAGCAGTTTTCTGTTCTTTTGACTGCATTCCCAAATTGAGGATTTGGCCGGAAATGTCCAAACTGATCATTGATTTTTTTTTTTTTTTTTAAGAAAGCAAATGGAAATCCAATGGAATCCCTACTGTGCTCTTTGTTCAGAAACCAAGGCAGGGAGCCATAGTAGGGGTGAGAGCTGAGAGGAGGGTGGGTTACCTCTTGGGGTCCCTACCATAAGAAACAAGGGGTTCTCCACATTTGCCTTGCCTTAAAGAGCAGGCTTCAGTTTGTCTCTGGACTTGGTTTGCAATGGCCCCTCAATAGTTGAAATTTTGGGTCATTTTGCTCAAGCAAGCTGGGTCTTCTCTTCCTTCCTTCCTTCTCTTTTCTGTTCCCTTTTTTCCTCAAAGAAGTTCGAAGGACTGAGGTAGGAGAGAGAAAAGAAAAGGGTACCAATTGTTCTAGTTGGAGTTGGAGTTCCTAAAGAGCTGTCCTAATTTTGAACAAAGTAGTCCTCACCATGTTTGGTTGCATCCCGGTTTTAGCACATGGTGGAGGGTGTGAGAAGCAGGAGGGAAAGGGGATGGGTACAAGGAAAATGGAGAGCCTTGTAAGATCTTCTTTGTCCCCAGACCTCCAAGAAAGATCGTTGTATGATGGAAGTGGTCCCCAGGGCAGATGTTCTGCTCTCTGTCATCGGTAGCCCAGCAAGCAGTGAGTGGTGCTTGGTTCCAGATTGTGCTCATTTTCTTGGGCAGCTATAGCAAAGCCCCACAACTGGGCGGCTTTGACTACAGGAATTTACTGTCTCATGGTCATGTATACTGGAAGCCTAAAATCAAGGTGTTGGCAGGGTTGTTCTGAGATAAAATACTCAGCCTCCACCACCTGAAGGAAAAGAGGTTTATTTTGGTTCAGTTTTTAGAGGATTCTGTCGAGAGGTGGCTGACTCCAATGCAGAAAGGGCGCGGTGGCAGTCTGGTGGAGCCTTCTTTCCGGCTTGTCTTCTTTTTGCTATGTCCCTATGTGGGTCCTCCATATGCACGTGCTCCTCTGTCTTAATCCTCTCTTCTTCTACAGGCATACCGAATCAGGGCCCATATCAATAACCTCATTTTAACTTAATCACCTATTTAAAGACTGCACCTCCAAAGATGGTTGCATTCAAAGGTACTGGAGCTTAGGACTTCAGCATGTGAATTTAGGCTGACACAAGTCAGCCTACAACATAACATCATTTACATCGCAACAAATAAACATGACTGGTGCCTCCTTATTTCACTGGCCAGGAATTGCAGATGTAGGAAGATGGTAACTCAGTGGCTCTTAGGAGTTCTGGGGTGGGGCTACCTCCTGATTTCAGGGTAATATAACATTTCCTATTATGCTCACAAATAGTGTGGGACCCAGAAGCACATAGAATGACTACAAGAGACTAAAAAATTTACAGGTGTTCAGCTGTACCCCAGAGCTTCTGATCTAACTGACCCAGGAAGCACCAGACAGTGGTCTGTTTTCTGATGTTCTCCAGATGATTCTAATGTGCGGCTTGAGCGGAGGACTCCAAGCCTGGTGTCCAGTGTGGAGGGCTGTCAGCTGTCTGTGTGCATCCAGGGACACACACGTGGCTGGCTGGGGGCCCCCTGCACTCCCTAACCCAAGGCTCAGCACCAGGGAGACCAGGACAGTATTTTCCCAGCTTGTCTTGTTGTCTGTCACACTTTCCAACACATATACATGTGCACACACACACACACACACACACACACAGACACACACAGACACACGCCTCTGAATTTTATTATGCCTCCACCACACTATTCTTTTATTTGGGGTTGTCTTCTCTGTAAAACATTTTATGGGATGAAGAAGCAGTTGGTAACTAAAGAAAAGCAAGCCACATGTCCGAAGGAGTTTTCCAGCTGTCACAAAGGAAGAGGGATGAAGAGTGAGCACCCAAAACCGCTTGTCTGTTTCCATGGAAAGTGACTGCATCTGAGAAAGGCCCTGCTGGCTCTTTCTGAGGCAGAGCAGAGATGTCTCTGCTCACCAGCAACCCCGTTATTGATGGCTTCGGTCTCCCAGGTGCTCTATGGGAAAGGGCAGCCTAGCAGCCGTTTCAGGATAGAAACAAAGGCAAGAGTAAAAATTAATTGAGCTCAGTGTTATTTGCCTTCACCCTCATAGCAACCCTATGAGGCAAGTATTCTCATTTCCTGGTGAGAACCAACTCAGAGAGG